CTGGCCAGAAGACCATCGTTGATACCCTTCATAGGATGGGTAAGCCACAGAAGTTCATAGCTAAGGAGGCTGGCTGTTCACAGAGTGCTGTGTCCAAGCATATAAATGGAAAGTCTAGTGGAAGGGCAAAATGTGGCAGAAGAAGCACCAGCAAAAGAGATGACCGTGAGCTTCAGCAGATTATCAGAGAAGATTCCAGAATCTGGCAGAGATCCAGAAAGAGTGGAATGAGGCAGGAGTCATAGCTTCAAAAAACACCACATTCAGATGCATCCGGGAGATGGGCTACAACTGTTGGGTTCCTCGGCCCTCTTTTCCGATGAAAGTAAAGTGTGGCTTTCATTTGGAAATCAAGGTCCAAGGGTTTGGAGGAAGAAGGGTGAGGAACAGAGCCCATACTGCTTGAGGTCCAGTGTGAAATATCCACAGTCAGTCATGATTTGGGGACAATGTCCGGTGCAGGTGTTGGTAAACTCTGCTTTCTTAAATCCAAGGTCACAGCAACAGTCTACCAGAATGTTTTAGAGGACTTCATGATTCCTTCTGCTGAGGATCTGTATGGAGATACAGATTTCATCTTCCAGCAGGACCTGGCCCATGCCACAGTGCTTGACTGGCCAGTCAACTCGCCGGACCTACAGTAAACCCCACTGAGAATCTATGGGGTATTCTCAAGAGGAAAATGAGGAGCACCAGACCATCAACAAAGAGCTGACAGCATCAAGGAAATCTGGGCTTCCATAACTCCCAGGCAATGCCACAGGCTGATTGATTCAATGCCACGTCGCATCGAGGCAGTGATTAAGACAAAGGGATTCCCAACCAAGTATTGAAGATTGACATATCGTTTTGAAAGTACCATATTTTGATTGATTTGTTGTGATCCTAATTTATTTCTTTTTTTTTTTCTGCAAAAACTGAGAAGTGTGGGCTGATGTCTTCACAGTATTCAAATTTTTTTTAAATCCTGTTTTCGTGGGTTTCATGAGCTGGAAGCCCAAATTATGTACAAAGAAACAAATAAATACATGAAATCGTTTAAATTGTGGACCCTGTATCTATAATATATTAACTTTTTGAATGGAATTATGGAAGTTAAACAACTTTTCCATGATATTCAAATCTTTTGGAAAGGGTCTATATTCTCCTGAAAAGTTCTGATTTTACAAGAAAATGGAAAAAATGCCCTACTTAAAATGTGATTTGAATTCAAGCAAAGTAACTCAACTAAATTAAATTGTACTTTTTGCTCATGAAATCGATTTTGAAGAATAACTCTCTGTGATATTTTATACAATCTATAAGTACATGTTCTACTGTCTCTTGTGATTGGGCACATTCACAAACTCCTGTAGAATGTTTTCCTATTCTTTTTAGATTCTAATTTAAATATGTATGACCAAATCGAAGTCTTGATAAAATATCCTCTTCCCTCCTCCTCCTTAATGTTTCCTTCATCCTACCCACAATTTTTTCAATAGAATAAAAACGTCTCCCTTTCCGCTCCTTGTTCCATTCCTCCTGCCATTTCTTATTAATTTCTTCCTTTACAATAGATTTTATTTGTGATTTGCTGTATGAGACTGATAAGGAAATTTCTATCTTTTTAGTAGCTTCTTTAGCAAACTTATCTGCGAGTTCATTACCTAAAACCCCTATATGAGCCGGGACCCAAATTAATCTTACTAAAACTCCTGATCTTTTAATTCTATACAGTGTTTGTAAAATTTCTAATATAACATTATGCCTTGATTGAAAATGAGCAAGCTTTATACTGCAGATTGCACTACTGGAGTCTGTAGCAATTCATATAGACTCGAGACTTAATACTTTCAACCCACCTTAATGCTAAAAAGATAGCTATTAATTCACCAGTAAATACAGATAATTTATCACTGATCCTTTGATTAGACATGTAACGTATTTCAGGTTCAATAAAAGCAACTCCATCCTGTGTCCAATTTTTGAAGCATCAGTATAAATTTTTTGATACTCAGAGTATTTAGGTTGTAAATGAGATCCTTTCAGGGCAGCACGGTGGCGCAACTGGTAGAGCTGCTACCACTCAGCGAACAGGTCCCTGGTTCAAATCCCGGTCCGGGGGCCTTTCTAGATGGAGTTTGCATGTTCTCTCCGTGCATGCGTGGGTTTTCCCCGGGTGCTCCAGTTTCCTCCCACAGACCAAAAACATGCATGTTAGGCTGATTGGTAACTCTAAATTGCCCCTAGGTGTGAGTGAGAGAGTGAATGGTTGTTTGTCTCATTTGTCTCTATGTGTCCCTGTGATGGACTTGCGACTTGTCCAGGGTGTACCCCGCCCCTCGCACAGTGACTGCTGGACATGGGCACCAGTGACCCCCGTGACCCAAAATGGAAGAAGCGGGTAAAGATAATGGATGGATGGATGGAAGTTTGTATTTTTCAAGAAAATAATAATTTGATAATTAACTTTACTGACATCACTACTAAAAATTCACAAATTGTAAATTTAATGTTCATTTTATTGCTTTTTGGAAATGGCTTCTTTCTATTTCATAACCAGAACATTCCATAAAAACATACTGAACCATTTCAGGGAGATTGCATTTGTCACAAAGTCCCATTGCATAGTTTCTAATTATTTAAAGAGATTTATTATGGCCTATTCTGATACAAGTAATTATTGATTCTAGACTCCTGTTTCTTCCTGCTTTCCTTGTGTATTCTACTTTTTTCTGAATGTTATACAAGTGTTTCCCTGTATCATTCATGTCCCAGTTTTCCATACCATACCATTTTATTTATAGAGCACTTAAAACAGCGACAAGGCCAACCAAAGTGCTGTACAGACAGAACAACAGGTAACACATGAAGCAATATACAAAATGAAGTAAATCAAAAATATAGACATAAAAACGATGCAGATAACAAATATGATGACAAATCAGTGTGGAGTGTACAGGTTCAAAACAGATCCTCTGGTGTTGAAAGCTACTGAATAGTAGTGAGTAATAGTAATATACCCACTGTCCCTCCTCTGGACATGTCCAAACTGCTGTCTCCCTCCTCTGGACATGTCCAAACCATCTCAGTCTCTAACTTTATCTCCCAGTTGTGCCACCTGTGCTGTACCTCTGATGATCTCATTTCTAATCTTATCCATCCTTGTCTCTACTGTAGTGAACCTCAACATCTTCATTTCTGCCACTTCCAGTTCTTTCTCCTGTCTTTTTGTCCATGTTTCTGTCTGCGACGTTAGCAAAGTATATCATGAACTGCTGGACACATTTTAATGAAACTCTCAGAAAGTATCACTGAATGTACGTCAGACACTAAGATCCAAGAACACGTTTAATATTTTCATTGCTCGAGCAAAACAAATCTAGACTCATCATTGCTCAACATAAAACAGTCCTAGTCTAAAACTCGGGCAACAAAGATGGCGGGTGACGTTCATTCATTCAAAGAATGTGGGGCATGAATATCCCAAAAAGGTATTAAAAATGTTCCAACTGTTCTGGTTTTTCTGTATATGTGCGAACCACGAGCTGAATTTTAACTTCAACACTTTGTGTCATCTGTCCTGCAGGGGGAAAGTTGAGGCATCAGCCAAACTTTCTAGCAGCACCAGTAAATCCAAGCTCCCAGCAAACACTGAGCAGGATCTGAAGAGTGGCGAGACAGCAGAGGGTAAGCCCTTACACCGAGTCCGTCAGGTCCGAGTCCACTCCAAACTGTTGTCTGTGTAATAGAAGAGACTGTCAGAGCACCAACGTGTTTAAAGTCTCTGCAGTGAAACCTAATCTGTCACAAACTAACGCCCTGTGTGTGTGTGTGTTGTAGCTGTCAGAGCGTCAGGCCCATTGAACCGCAGCTCTCATGCACCACGGCTCGGTCTGGCCCGGGTCCTCTCGTGCTCCACAGACACCAAAGATCAGACCAAGCAGCTCTACCAAGAGGTCATCACCATGGAGCCACAGGTCAGTCCGTCAGTTCAGGCTTCTAAGACCAGACATGTCACTCTAACGCGAGAAACTCGTTTGTCTTTACGTTTCTTTGAATTATAAAACTTCACAACATTTTTCTTCTTGAATTTGTTCCACAACTGGATCATCACAAAGCAAAGTGTACAGCTGCACTTTTAGAATCTGGAGCATCTAAAAATATTTGTTCAAGGATGATTGTCGTCCTGCTGAGTCGATGTAAATGTGCTGACTCGTGGTTCAGATCCATGATGCCGACATCGAGCTCGTTCAGCTGCTGGAGCCTCTGACCTGAAGGCTGCCCGAGACGTTTAATGCACATTTCTTCTGAGGCTCGTGGCCTAGCAGAGCTTTGGAGACGCCTCCATCACCGGAGAGATGATCCACATGCTGATGTCACAGGAGCGGTACGACCCCCCACAGATGGGGCCCAGCCTGGTGGCACACGGTAAAGTCATGGGACTGAGTGAGTACTGCTGACCATTTTACAAAAATACTACAGAAAAACACGTCATGTGACTTTGTGAGAACAGTTTGAGCAGTAAAACTTCTGTGCAAGCACAGTCACTTTAAAGTACCCATCTCTGGTCGTGTCTGCAGGTTCCATCGAGAAAAGTGTCGATGCTCTGGATGAAAAGTCGAAGACCGCACTGCCGAGGAGCGTTTACGCCACAATCAACGACAGACAGGAAAAGATGTGTGTTCAAAAAGACATGTGTTTGTTACACAGGGCAGAAGAGGCAAAGAAACGTTTTAATTAAAAATAAAAAAACACTTTTGATCTGAAACTTTCTAAAGAAGTGACATTTGCAATCAGCCTTCCCATCGATGCTCACACAGGGAGGACAAACATCCAACACGTCTGAGTCATGTCTTTGTCCTGCGTGTACAGATGTCAACAGATGTTTGTGTCCAGCAGCACTTCCTTCTCTGTGTGTTAGGGTTAGCTTTAAACAACAAAACACATTTAGTGTGACGTCAACTTTAAACGTCACAAACAGAAAAAAGTTGTTGGACAAAAGATAAGTGTGCTGCGTTCGTGTCCTTTCTTCAGAGCAGGTTGAGTTTTGTGACGATAAGGACGCGGACCGACTGGTCGAAACCGGAGCACAGGCACAGGCCCTGCTTGTCGGGGCTCCAGTCCAGGCTGGCGATTGGCTGAGAGGACAGAGTGACGTTCTGCAAGAGGCTGATGGAACCAGCTACACCCACGTCCACACCGTCAGAGTCCTTCTTGCTTCTTTTGGCAGGATACTCACTGAAAATGACACAATTGATGCACGGGTCAGAGTCCAGCAGGAAGCAGCCGTCGGAGCGTGAACTGATGGAAACTGGAACTTACTACTTCCACAGATGCAGGTTACCAGCTCCCCCTGCAGTCATGAAGACGTCTCTGTTTTGGGGCAAATGTCTCACCTGCCAGACGGTGGACTTATGAGCCTAAAAATAAAGAAGAAGGTTTGCTTCCTAAAACTTGAGACTCGTGCTGAAGACATATTTGCAGTAAAAGTCTGTCCCCTCAGAGACTCTCTGCCTCTCAGGGTGTTGGACAAACTTCCATCTGTGAAATCGCTCAAACCAACACATCCCTTTCCTCGTGCAATTTGAAGAATTTCAATGACAGTCGTTCCTAATTGACAGAATACAAACATCCCGCCCATGTTAATTACCTTTTCGGAGACGGAGGCAAAGCCCTTGGTGGGGTGCTGCGTCCTCATGTCAAACACGTGGAATTTGCCCTCCAGTGACGTGGCAACCAGCTTGTTCATGTTGATGTCCTTCCTGTCGAACTCCACGCAGCACACCTGTTCACAGTGTTAAAACACCACCAGGTGTTACGGCTCCACCACGAACTACACCCACATGTTCACGTGACATCAGGAGGAAGTGAGAGCAGCTTTGTAATTAGTGAAGGGGCCGTTATCCTCCCTGGTGACGCAGATTATGCAGCAAATCACAGATAATCATAAAGTTGAATTATTCTTCGTTGGGCTCTTTGAACTGACTGGATTATGTTAGTTTGAAGAGAATACCTGGTGTTTAAATGAAGGTGTCTTTGATTATCTTACACCAGTGGTAAATTATGATACTCAAGGTCAGATAATTTAATATTCAGAAGATAAATTTTATATTTCTGCTGCAGACGAGTCACAAAAACTTTCAAATTAAAACCTCACAGTTTTAGCCTCAGATTATGTTCGGATGAGAAATGCTGAGTTATCAGAAAACATCAGCACTCGGAGTTTGGGAATGACTCGACTAGAAGAACTGGAACTGTATTCAAATCATTAACAGTGATGAAGGTTAGGGAACATCCTGATGCATGCTCAATAATCCAGGTAGAAAAGGTTATGGAACGTTTTGATGTGTGAATAATGTTCTGGCTGTGGTGGCCCACAGCGTTGGATCTCACCCCGTTTTTGATGTTGGTCTCCCACCGCAGGGACATGTTTCTCAGGTCAAACAGTTTGACGTCCCCGTTGTCGTAGCCGGCACACACACATCGGTCCTGATCATTGAACGCATGGCCTGAAAGGATGGGTACATGTGAAACACAGAGAAGATCAACAACTTCACACGTCTTCACTAGGCCTGTCACAATAAACAATAAATCAATTATTCGTATGATAAATGAAAATTATCGACCTAATTTTCATTTATCAGCTTTATCGTTCCTTCGTGTCTCTCTCTTTCTGCTGAAGACACTGGATGACAAAAGGTTCAACTCTGGTGATCTTCACTGACCCCTCCCTTTCTCTTTGAAATCCATTTTAATGATCAAAAGCACATTTTTGGATCGTTAAAAGCAGCTAAGCTGAGAAGCTAAGCTGCGACCTAAGCTAACAGGCCGATCTCGGGAACAAACCTCCGTCTTGTCGAAGCTCCAAAATTCACAGTTGAAACCCGTGCCTTTGTGTAAAAAGTTTTTCTCTGCAAAAATAAACTAAGAACTTGTTTACTATTTTTTAAATTAAAAGCTTTGTGTGAAAAATGCTATGCTAAACAGCTCAAACTACACCGAGCGTCCGCCATTTTAAGAACTGAAGAGAGACAGCCCATGTCACGTCAAGGGGCCTCTCTCCCATTTTTCTTAAAGGGACACGCAGTTCGCTCCCTCACTATCCATCCTTCGGTTCAAACTGTCTTATACTGCCATCTGGTGGTTGAAAAACGGTACTACACGCAAAACAAATGAACAAACATTTCTTCTTAAATTTGGCAATAATTTTTAATTATTGTCAAATTTCAAACAATATTATCGTTTATCGCAATAATTTCTGAAACAATTGCCCAGCAAAATTTGTTATTGTGACAGACCTAGTCTTCACACAACCTTTGTTGGTGTTATCTACCTGGAATTGAGCTTACAATCTTTTTTCTGAACCACTTTGGCCTTGGCTGTCCTCGGGCTGTTTCTGTGAGTAGCAAGTTGGCCACCTGGCCTGAAACATTCGATTGCTGTACATGATGACTGATTGTTTTGCACGTGTTAAAAGCCTACTTTTGAGTTTCCAACAGGAGGTTGACTTGAAACACAGCAGTGAAGGCTACCTATGGGACAGATCTGGTTGGCAGGCCGTAGACTGATGAAGTCCTCTGGATGAGGGATGAAACGTTTCTCACTTAAAGAAAGTGGTCCAGATGACATGATTTAACCTTTTTTGGTTATCTACCTGGACGATTGAGCCTACAACCTTTTTTCACACGTCTTTATTTTCACTGGTGGACAGGAAGTCTCAGGTCTTTGCAGGCAGCTGTGGCTTAGTGGTTAGAGCAGGCATCTTTCAATGAGAGTGTTGAGGGTTCGATTCCACCAGCAGACACAAATCAAAGTGGCCGAACTGCTGAAGCCCTCACCGACTCTGATGTGTGTCCCATCGGTGCATGAATGTGATCTAAAACCCTGATTATATCTACAAAATGATTTATTCAGATTATCTTTGTAGAGTGCTGTATGAATGTACATGCAGACTTTCATTTTTGATAAATCCTATAATTAGGGTTGGCTTGTTAAACTGCATTAAGCTTAAACTACTAGAGGACAAATTGACCTCATTTCCTTAAATGAATTGTTAAAACTGAATAGTTTTCATTTGATACTATTTCTACCTTAACATGTGATTCTTGTTCTGCCATTGTGTATCTGTTCCTACCAAACCCAGCCTGTTGAAGCAGATGGCCGCTTGTCCTGAGCCTGGTTCTGCTAAAGGTTTCTTCCTCATGAGGGAGTTTTTCCTTTCCACTGTCGCCTTCATGCTTGTTCAAGATGAGAGTTCTGTGATGGAGTTAAACTCAAAGCAGTCTGCTCCTCAGAGAAATATTATTAAATTATTATTTTTATATATGAATGTTTCTGTTCGGTGCCCTGAGACGACTTCTGTTGTGACTTGATGCTATATAAATAAACTGAATTGAACTGAAAAAAATTGAATGTGTGTGGATGAGGGCACAGATTGTGCTGTAAAGAGCTTTGATTATTCTGGTTGGGCAGAAAGGTGCAGTCCATTTATCATGCTGCTGCTTTTCTTCTGAATGAAAACCTGCTCTTGCATAGGAAGGATGAACGTGTATTTATTATAAAAACAGAAAAATAAACCACTTTAGTATTGTCACTTGGTTTGTAAGACAGGCATTTACATTGTTTAGTTTTCTATTGTCAATGTAAAAACTCATGGTTATCAGCAATACACATTTCAGTTTCAGAATAAAAGCCTCAAAATATGTCAAACCCAGTGATCACACTTTAAAATCCTACAAGGATAAAGATTATGGAATAAGCCCTTATGTAGGACGATTTTTGTTTATTTGTTCTGTTTTATTTCGTAAAAAATTACAGATTCACAGAAGTATTTCATTTAGCATCTGAAAATAAAATGTGGTTTAAATTGTGAAGAAAACAAAAGTTAATCTGTGACAACAAAGTTCATGCTCAATCATCCAGGTATCAAATCCAATAATTCTCCGTCAGGTCATCTGGACAGTTTCTTTTTTATAGAGACGTTTCACCCTCTATCCAGAGGACTTCATCAGTCTGAGGAACTACTGTCCAGATGACCTGACTGAGAATTATTGGATTAATCTGTGACGTGTTACAGGAGGAAGAGAACTCCTTCAATAAGTTGTTACAATACAGGCATTCTCTAATGGTTCCTCTTTTTAACGTGAAAATTAACATGTCAATATTTTAGATGAATGTTTTTACAACAGAAATGGTAAATAAACTCAATCTGAACGATTCAGACTTTTAATATAAAAATAGTTGAGTGAAGAACCCAAGGAGACCTGACATGTTGTCTGCTGTGAAGAACACTTCTCTTACCAAATGCGACAGTCCAGCAGTCCCTCCTGGGCTCTCCTTCTACAGGCTCCATGTTGGCCACAGGTGAGTCCTTCTGCCGGGGGTCCCACACCTTTACTGTCCCTGCAACCCACAGCAGAGTCTCACCTACTTCAAATCAAAGCTTTCACAACCAGAAACATCAAAATCTGAACACTCACCGTCTCTGCTTCCAGTGACGACCTCAGGAGCCCCGTCACCAACCCCCAAACCACCGACTCCATCAATACTGTTCACGATTTCTTTGTGGGCCTTAACGGAGTAAAGTGGCACCTCGGGCGCCTCCAGACTCCTGTGGATGATAACAAAGATAACAAATAACTCTCTTTAGTCAAAAGTCAATCTTTACAGTGTTTTTATTTACTCGGGTGAACGTTAGGCACTAAAAGACGTTTCAGATTACTTAAGAGAAGGAGCTGGTTTGTCTCCAGCATCAATCCAAACATTTAAACGTTTCACACAATATATACTGGAAAGACAGAGACGATGTGGTATGAGCAGGTTTGAATGAATTATTACCAAATATTGAGATTTCCATCAAAATCCCCAGTTGCTAAGTGTCTTTGCTGAAGAGTCGAGGCTCCAAACGTTCCACATTTTAAAGGTTTGGGTTTCTCCACCTGAAGAATAGAAGACTGTTTAGTTAGTGACATTTAAACAAGCCATGTTAAAACGACAAGAGCACCGAAACAAATAAAGGAAAAGGGTGTCAAACCATAAAAACTTGTTGAACAGCTCCATCCCTGACCTCCTAGTATAATAATTGTCTCATACAGGACCAGTGTTTATTTAATAAACCCACACATGCAGACAGACGTCACCCAGACTTATTATATATAGCTATTAATCATATGAAACAACAGCTAATGATGATTTGTTTATACTTATACGTTTATTTATAAAAGATATCTTGTATTTGCCATACAATAAGCAGCAACTATATTGCAGAGCTCGTGAGTTTTCGCTACCGGCTGCCTGTTGCCATGGATACGCCTGGTTAAATAGTTAGCTCCGGGAAAACCCGGATATTTAACAAGTTCTGCACACAGAGATGTGGGACTACCTCGGAGATGAGCTGAGCCTCTCCGTGCTGCACCTCGTAAATTTGGATCACTCCCGTTCCTCTGGGAAAGTTCCCCAAACACACAAACTTTGCGCTGCAGGGAATCCATTTGCTGTCAAACACCGTGTAGTTTAAACTCCTCTGAATGTGAGCGATTATCTGAGGCTTTGAAAGCGGAGAGGACATTTTCACGGAGCGGGTTTTCTCTGTAAAACTGTACAAATGTACCACAAAAAAATAACATCCACTACAAAATAAACAACGTTCAATGTTTCTGTGTTGCAGTGGTTCAGCCTAGTAGCCACCCCCAGCTACTTTAAGCCCGCAGCTGTCCAAAGGAATGCCTGACTAAAAGTTTGCGTATTTAAAATATCAACGTTATATACACAAAAAAATAAGTTGATACTTGAAAGTAAATTACACCCAATATACTTCTTTAAACGTGTAGGTAGTGCATTTATGGCACTATTTATTTACTTTTTTTGAATGTTCAGGCGGTAATTTTATAGCTGTTTGGGTCCTTTTATGTTGCACGAGGACACCCTGATGCCTCCTAGCCAGAGCCAGCTTCAGTTTTTACTTCATAATTTGAGTTTTTAAAACGCCTTCGCGATGGACGCAGATAAAACTCCACGTCCGGTCGCTGAAGCCGCCGCGGGGAGTAAAGATGAGGAGGAGCCGTTCACGGAGGTGAAGAGGCCCGCAAGGAGTCAGAAACGGAAACGCGAAAAGAGAGCGGACATGATGGACACCGAGGACGGCGTGGACAACAAACGGCCGCACTTTCCACCGATTTCAAGCGACAAATTACAGGTAAAAATACTTTGTGCGTCTGTTTTTATACATTATTATAATGTAGTTATGTATTTATTCACTGTTGGGATTTCATATCCGTTCGCTCTGTTCCTTTAACCGAGATAGTTTTTGCGTTGCGCATGCGCAGTAAAGACATGAAACCTGACAGAAGTCAATGTTGATGTTTTACTTTACATATCTCAGATTAATTTGCAACTACATTAGAGTTAGCATCAGAAATTAAATTCCCCTTCTCATCAGTTCACATGGAAAACCTTGAACTAACGTTAACGAGCCACAGATAAACATGGATGCACTGTTTGTGAAATACTGAGTTGATTCAGTGCTTATGTTGATATTTCTATAGACAGAACTGATTGTTTTTGTCAATAAGTTCTGTTTTCCTTCTAAAGTTGTTTTGGTCTGGTAATTGTTGTGTGTGTTTCAGGGGCCGGATGAGATGATTAAAGTTTCCGTTCCTGCTCACAGATACACCCCGCTTAAAGAAAACTGGCTAAAGATCTTCACTCCAATTGTGGAGAATTTACAGCTTCAAGTCAGATTTAACCTTAAAACCAGGAATGTTGAAATCAAAGTAAGTTTCTCAGCACGTCTGACTCAGTGATGCTCGTCTAGAGCACCATCATCATCATCGTCTTACCTTCTGTCTTTCAGACGTGTAAAGAAACTCAGGACATCAGCGCGCTCACAAAGGCAGCAGACTTTGTCCGAGCATTTGTTCTTGGATTTCAGGTTGAAGTGAGTTTCTGTGAACCTGCAGCTTCTTGTTTCTGCAGAACCCAGTTAATTCAGATGATTCTGGATGTTTTTATTGTTGACTGATGTGAGTTTAGGAATCAGGGCATTCAATGGCTGATATACAGCACGCGATTTAAAACAATTACATTTTGTTAAATGAATAATACACATTAACCCCAAAATTTAAATATACATTTAACAACTCCTTAAATAAACCATACACTTAAATACTATATAGAAGACTTCCATCCATCCATTTTCTTTACCCGTTTATTCCATTTTGGGTCAAGGGGGTCGCTGGTGCCCATGTCCAGCAATCACTGTGCGAGGGGCGGGGTACACCCTGGACGGGTCGCAAGTCCATCACAGGGCCACATAGAGACAAACGAGACAAACAACCATTCACTCTCTCACTCACACCTAGGGACAATTTAGAGTTACCAATCAACCTAACATGCATGTTTTTGGACTGTGGGAGGAAACCGGAGCACCCGGAGAAAACCCACGCATGCACGGAGAGAACATGCAAACTCCACCCAGAAAGGCCCCTGGACCGGGGTTTGAACCAGGGACCTGCTCGCTGAGAGGCAGCAGCTCTACCGTGCTGCCCTATATAGAAGACTTGTATCACTTAAAACTAAATTGTTGGTTACAGGTTGTAGCAGCTGCATCTTCCTTCTCAGTAATCAAGTGTCGCATATCATTTGGTTAAATTTGGTGCAGGTTAGTTTCTCCATCTCTAGTTTTTATGCAACACTTGATGTCAAGTCAGAGGTATTTTGGAATAAGCCATGATAAATCAGCAGTACAGTTCCAGACCCCACTGCAATAAGTGAAAATCTGCGAAGTAACAACATTATATTTATTTTAGTATTTATAAATATATTAAGGCTTTAGAAAACCTTCCCACACTCTTGCAATGTTCTAAACCAGAGCTATTCAACAAAACTGCTCAGTGGGCCACAGTTTCTGAAAGCCAGCAGCTCGGGGGCCGAACATCCAGTGATTTTTCATTCGACCTTTATTTAGACAGGTTAATCCCATTGAGCCTCGGGGACTCATTTACAAGAGAGACCTGATTTATTTATCAAAGAATGATGACAATAGTGGACAGCAAAGCCATCAATAGACAAATCATAAAGGATGAAAGGTGAAAATAAAATATTTAAAAGGAAAAGTAACAAAAAGCAGCTAGGTTGTCATTATGATTATTATGATTAAAGTTATTATGTAAATAAACCAAGTTTTACAATGATCTGTTACCTTTTAAATTAGTTTGTTTTATTGCAATGAAGCAAATGCAATAAACAGAACTCCCCCAAAATACTTTTTTTTAAATGAAATGGCCCGCGGGCCTCCAGTTGAATAGCCCTGTTCTAAACTCTTAAATCTACGTCATTTTAACAACATACATAGAGTACTCTGTAGCTACTAAATTTTACTCATCCTTCTGGCAGAACAGCAGCAGCTCAGTTCTGCTCCGACTTGGTTCTGTTTCTGCAGACATACCCTGTCAGTTCTGGTCGGCTCTCTGGTTTGGGGTAGTGGCGGTGGGCTCTGGAGGGAGTGCCGGATCTACAGATGGCGATTCCCCGCTTGGGGGTCCTCGTGGGCCAGCTAGTAGCTTTCGGGTTCACAGATGAGTCTGGGAGTCCGGTTCTGTGCAGCCCTTGAGCGCCGAAGCGCATTTTGGGGGGTGGACCTTGGGGTGGCCGGCGAGGGACCGGTGGTCTCATTGAGTGGTCCGATAGATGAAAAAAGTCCTGGTGGGCTCCGAAGAGAGGCCGAACCTACGACGGCACCCCCGCTCAGAAGTCCTTGTGGGCCGTCTAGCAGCTCTCAGATTCGCCATTTGGGTCTGGAGGTCCGGTTCTGCTCTGGCTTTTTGTGGTTTGTTCTGTTGGCTCCTGGGAAATGTAGTCCTTATGAGCGGGGATACAGTGCATGCTTATTAAGAGAAAATTACACAATGGCGGCACCTGGCCAAAGTATTTTATTTAACTTAGTTAACTTTTTACTGTACTGTATCCGGTACTGTCCCAATCACGTGAGTAATATTAAAGTTGACAATCGTGTGTCGTGTACATTTTTATTATTTTTTTATTTTCTCATTTTCAATCTTACTTTGAAAAACCGGGAAAGAGCGAAGTGTTTAGGGACTAATGTACAGCAGGGATACTCTGTCTGTTTCAAGTGTTTTAAAGACAGCAGATGTTTTGTTGGCGTTGTTGAAATTTGGAGGAATAAACAGATTTTAACAGCCCCCCCAATGATTGTTTGAGGTAACCCTCAGCTTCTTCTTGCAGGATGCGATGGCTCTCATCAGATTAGATGAACTCTTCCTGGAAAGTTTTGACGTGACAGACGGTAAGAACAGCAGAGCTCTCCTGTTTGTTTTCAGCCTGTGCATGTATTTCACCTGTCCCCCCCCGCAGGTTAGTTAATTTCAGTGTCAAACCTCTTGTTTATGCAGTAAAACCTCTGAAGGGTGACCACCTGTCCAGGGCCATTGGAAGAATAGCAGGGAAAGGAGGAAAAACTAAATTCACAATCGAAAATGTGACAAAAACTCGTATTGTGCTCGCAGACACGTAAGTGATCCGGTGTCGTTGAACCTTCACTGACGAGTTGAACGTGAGACGTTCTGCAGCATCTAGAACTAATGTGACATTTTGTGTGTCTGTACAGGAAAGTCCACATTTTAGGTTCTTTCCAGAATATCAAGATGGCTCGGACGGCAATCTGCAACTTAATTTTAGGTGAGTTTTCTTTTGGGTCAGCTCCGGCTCCACAAGTGCTGAGAACTGACCTTTAACTGCGTGTGCCCCTACAGGAAGTCCACCTTCAAAGGTTTACGGGAACATCAGAGTGGTGGCCAGCAGGACTGCAGAGAGGTTCTGAACCATGATGGGCTGGATCAGGTTTTCCTTTGAGGACCTGTGATGGGTTCAGATCGACGCCTCGTTCGTTCTCACCAGATGCAGAAAATAAATTCTAATTCACACTTTAATGGACTGCTGGTGGTAAAGTTCTGTAAATAAATACACAAAGGAACTAAAGACGTATGAAGTGCCTGATGTGTGAATCAGCATTGGGCAAACGATGACTCAGCAAGTTATTTCTAAGGGTTTTGGTTGATGGCCAAGCAGGAATGTCACGGTTTTTCAAACCAAACCTCTGATTGTGTCTCCATCAAGTATCAAGTAGCTTTTTATTGGCAAGCAGTGAAAAATGTTTGTTGGCAAATAAATAAAAATCCTTTGAATCTCCACACCTGGGCAGAAGGAAAGTTTTCAACTATAGAAGTTCAGTAGTTTTTTTTTTACATGTGGGATCTGCCGTGTCCTGAATAACAGTTTATTGACAAATGATACTTTGAAAAATTTTTCTTAACCCACTAAAACAATCTAAAAATTTAGGATAATCACATTTCTAACCAAAAATCAAGGATGTCGAATTAAATCAAGACAAACAGCTGCTAAAGTACTCATCTGTTTTATTGCCTTTAATTGTTAATTTGATTAAATAAATGTTCTTGGGACCACTAGAAGCTGCACAGAGCAGGACTTCATGGAAGAGCACAAACATCAAGATCAACACCTGAGACAAATGATCACCTGTCAGCATGCCGACACCTTTACAGTGAAGCATGGTGGAGGCAGCATCATGCTGTGGGATCCACCTTCATCAGCAGGGACTGAGAAACTGAGCTAAAGGGAGTTTTTGTCAAACATTTTAGAAAGTGATTCAGTGCACATGAAGTTAAATATTTCAAGTGTTTATTTCTTGTAATTTTGATTATTATAACTTACAGATGAAGAAAATCCAAAACTGAATGTCTGAAAGGGGCAACACGGTGGTGCAAGTGGTAGAGCTGCTAACTCTCAGCGCGCAGGTCTCTGGTTCAAATCCCAGTCTGGGTGTCTTTCTGGGTGGAATTTGCATGTTCTCTCCGTGCATGCGTGGGTTTTCTCCAGGTACTCCAGTTTCCTCCCACAGACCAAAAACATGCATGTTAGGCTGATTGGCAACTCTAAATTGTCCCTAGGTGTGAGTGAGAGAGAATGGTTGTCTCTGTGTCCCTGTGATGGACTTGCACCTGTCCAGGGTGTCCCCCGCCCCTCGCACAGTGATTGCTGGACATGGGCACCGGCGACCCCATGACCCAAAATGGAAGAAGCGGGTAAAAGATAATGGATGGAAATTAGAATATTCCTCAGCCAGCGTCTGGTTCCTTTGTCAGTGTGGGCCGGTGCCGAGTCCTGCTGGAAAATGAAACCAGCATCTCCTTGAAGCTCGTCATCAGAAGGAAGCATGAAGTCTCTAAAATGTCCTGCTAGATGCTGCGTGGACTGTGGACTTCAGAAAATACAGTGGACCAGCACCAGCAGAGGATACTCCCCCAAACCATCACTGGCTGTGGAAACTTCACTCTGGACTTCAACAGCGTGGATTCTGGACCTCTCCGTTCTTCCTCCAGACTCTGGGAGCTTGATTTACAAATGACATGAAAATGTCCTTTCATCTGAAGAGGACATTGGACCACTGAGAGACAGTCCAGTTCTTTGTCTCCTCAGCAGGTAAGACACTTCTGACGTCTGGTTCAGGAGTGGCTGGACTTGAGGAATGAGACATTTGTAGCTCATGTCCAGGAGTTAATCAGCGGATCAGGGTGAGACACCAGGAGTTTACAACGTTGAAGCTCTTCACAATATTCTAATTTTATGAGACACAAAATTTAGGTTTTTCATTATTTGTAAGTTATAATAATGAAAATTACAAGAAAGGGTTGAAATTCTTCACTCTTTAATGTAATAGACGAGTTTCACTTTCTGAAGTGACTTGACAAAAAAAAAAAACTCGTTTAATTTTTTGTAGATGCACCTTTACTCAGTGTTGGGGGCTGAATACATATTTTCAGTTTTATAGTTATTAGGTTTAAAAAAAAAAAAAAAACCCCATTCCATTTTTTTTGAAGAATTTTTGTAGAATTACACCTTTTTAATAAAAACACGACAATGCATGAAAAAAAAGCATTTTTTTTTTCTGCTGCAAAGTCGGGGAATAGTTTTGTTTGGGGCTGCACGGTGGTGCAGTTGGTAGAGCTGTTGCCTCTCAGCGAAATAGTCACCTGATCAAATCCTGGCTCAGGACCTTTGCATGTTCTCTCCGTGCATGCATGAGTTTCCTCCCACAGACATGATGGGTGATGGGTAACTAAATTGTCCCGAAGTGTAAGTGAGAGGTAAATGGTTGTTTGTCTCAATGTGTCCCTGTGATGGACTGGAGACCTGTCCATGTGTCCCCACCTCTCCCACTGACCCATGTGAGCAGCAAAGGAAGAGGCAGGTAAAGATGGTGGATGTTTTGCTCGTGGTTTCAGCTCCTCGGGTTTTGATGAACTTTGTCATCGACATGTTTCCTTCGTACCGAGATGTTCTCTGCTAGAACCACCGACATCTGACAGATGGTCTCATTAGTGGCATCTTCAGGTCGAGGTTTGAAAAGAACAATGACAGTCTGAATACTTACAACATATTAAAGTTTACTTAAATTTTATTTCATTTTCATACAGTATCAAGTTTCCAACAGTCCCACAGCAGAATATGCAGCATGCAGAAAAAGGGAAAAACGCTTTCTCAAACTTTTATCTTTTCAGATACTCCCACACAAACGTAAAAGAAAACCCAAGCCCCTCTGAGAAAAGTAGTACTTACAAACTAAAGCGCGGTCTGAACTATACAAAGAACAGAGAGCCAGAACTGCATTTAACAAATACTTATATACAAAAAGAAAAAAAACAAAAACATCAAATTTCCCCTTTAAGCTGAGTACAGTGTGTGGCAGTTTGAGACAGGATCAGATATGCAACTTTGACTGGAATCGAAGCATCTCGCTGACCCGGGTAAAATACAAAAACTTACATGTAGTTCAGTTCATTTGGATTACCGCTCAGAATATGTGTACATTTACCAAAGTTTGGCAACATCCATATTGTATACCGTTAAGTTCTTAAATATATTAACATCACCATTCATGTGTAAACAAGAGTTTTAGTTCAAAAAATTGATCTACATGCACAACAAAATAATATACTTCCATGTCATGCAAGCACAGGGAGGCCCAAGCCGTGCAGAGCTTTGGGGTGGGGAGGTGGGGGCGGGGGGGTCGAGCACTCCAGATCTGACTGAAACTACCTGTTAAAACCAGCAGTTGGTGTCCGCAGCAAAACCAACACTTATCCCGATGCAGTTTACAGCAGGAAGCATTTGTCCTCAAACTAAAGGTTGAATTTGGGTTTAATGAGTGAACAGGAAGTGGAAGTGGAAGCCAACTTTTGAAATGTACACGCTCCAAAGAAAACCCTAAAGCTACCAAGCTGCACACTGATCATGCTAACGCGTTAAGATCTCAGGTGTCTGCGCGGAAGAGAATCGGAGCCGACATCCAGAATGGCTCGAGCAGAGACGGACCCCCCTCCCTGACCCGATCGACAAGATGAGGACACACCGACGACCTAATATACACATACTGGTTCAGAAATGCTGCCTGCAGGTAAGTCGCTTACATCGCTTTGTCCTCGCGGCGGCGACAGCGAGAACCGAGCTTCGGTTCGTTCGAGATCATCTTACGGACGCTTTTACGGAATAAACCACGTCTCCGTTTGAAGCCACCGTTAATTTATTTTTTTGTAATTTTTCTTTATTTGGAAAGACATTTTCTTGGCATTAATTTATCTACCTAGAATTTTACGACAGGAAACAAGGAGAATCTCCACCACCACCAAAAAAAAAAAGTTCTTAAATATAAATAAAACTAGCAGATTTGTTGCAAAAAAAAAAAAAAAAGGAGTTGCTTTGCTAACCGAGAGCGGCTGGAAGCTTTACTGGTTGGTTCAAACTGCGCGAGCGAGACGAAGAGAAAATGTGAACCAACGTTCTGGATCTAACGTGACGGTGGTGCAGTGGTGCAGGTGGAAGTGTGGCGACCGCGGAGGGTAAAAAGCTGAACTGGTGTGTGTGGATATGTTCTGGTTGGCACTTCATACCCGACGGTTCAAACACTTCACACTTCCTCTCACAAAAACAACCGGAGATATACTTGTATTTTTTTCTTCTTTATAAAAGACAAGAACAAAAAAATAAATATAAAAAATAAACGCTTAACAAAAAAAGAAAAAAGGATGAAATATGAACAAGCCAACCAGCCTCTTCACTGCACCCCCCTTTCCCTCTTTCCTGCCCTCTCACCCAAACCGGAGGTGCTCTTGAGTAACGGACGCCCTTCAGTCTCGATGTGCTACGAGCGGGTTATTGAGGATCGACAGTTCAATAACACTTCAAAGTTGGCTTCACGAGGCCCGTGGTTCTGAAAGAAAAGGTGGCTCCAGAGAGAGAAAGACAGAATACTTCCATTGAGTTACACACAGAGCGTTTCGCCTGATGTCTTTAGCAGAACTTCAGATTGTGGAGAAAGCGAGTGTCGAGGGCAAGGAGGGGGAGTCAGCGTAGGGGAGGCGGGGGGCGCTCACACGTCCACCACCATCTTTTTGTGTATATCGAGACCGCCAACCACCTGGAAGAGAAAGAAGGCAGGAAACGTCACAAGGATCTCAGGTTCAAACTATTCTCTTTAAATTCATTGCTCACTGCTGCTGTGTTAGTAAAATATCTGATGGAGTGGCTACAATTTAAATAAACTCACATGCACTGTAATTTCCAGACTAAAAGCTGCTACTTTTTTCCACATGCTTTGAACCCCGCGGCTTATACAATGCTACGGCTAATTTATGGATTTTATTTTGATAGGGTAACAAGCTTCCTGCCGCCAGAACATTTAGCCTCGTCACACCCGGGTGCTACATAGCTGCCCAATACACATCTCTCTTGGGGGGTGGGTCCTCGTGACTCAACAAGACTACTTGTATAAATAAAGGTTAAAAAAAAAAATCTGACCAACGAAGTTACCGAACAGGTCACAATCAAATCAAAGAAAGAAGAGCAAGAACTTCATCTCTGTTTTTTTTTTTTTACCAACCGTGTTACAGGCACAGTTCAGAAAAAAACATTTGCTACGTATTTGTGCATGTTACCAGTACGCATTTAATTAAAAGTTTCAAAAATCTTTGTGTGTAAATATCTCATGTACAAAGTGGACACCCATGGCTTATAGACAAGTGCTGCTTATATAT